ACATTGACTTAGAACTGAAATGTGGTGTCTTTCTACTTATTCCTTAAAAGGACTTTTAAACTAAGCAGCAGTAGAGTTGGTGTCATCTTAAAAACACCAAATAACAACAGAAGATCATGTTGCAGAAGATCTCAGGATGTGGTTCCCAGCTTTGCCTTAGGGAATTGCAACATGGGATTATGGGCTGGCTCCATTTCTTGGATTTAAAAAGCATGATTACTTTAAAAATTTTTCTGTGCCCTCAAGGCTTAAGCCCTGCAGGAGGTGTTCTCTTTATATTCTAGCGGGGAGCAAAGGATTTTTTTAATTAGGTATTTGTCTCATTGGAGTAAAATTAACATTTCAGAAGTTTTTTGTTTTTTGTTTTTTGTTTATGGCAGATGATTTGTTACTTTATATTTTACCACCTATTGAAACAATCAGGTCCGTAATTGATTGCTGTCTGCCCATAATGCAGTGTCATGGACTTTTGGAGTTAAAGGGCCATGAGAATTATTGAGAACAGCCTCCTTAAAACTTTAACTCCTGTAAGTTGTTATATCTGTATATAAGAAGATCCTAATTGCTGTTTATACTTTTCTGAATAAAATAGTTGTTTCTGATTAAAGAGTAGTCAAACTAAGATGCCTTGCTGGGCTTCTGAGTAATTAATATACTGTGTGTGTGTGTGTGTGTGTGTGTGTAGATATATATACAGTTGACCCTTGAGCAACATGGGGGTTAGGGGCACTGACCCCCACCCTCCATCCCGCAAAGTCAAAATAACTTTTGACTTCCAAAAAATTTAACTACTCACAGGCTACTGTTGCCTGGAAGCCTTACCAATAACATTAACAGTCAGTTAACATATTTTTTGTTATATGTATTATAGACTGTACTCTTAAAGTAAGCTAGAGAAAAGAAAATGTTCTAAGAAAATCATAAGGAAGAGAAACTACATTTACAATACTGTATTTATCAATACTATAAATTTACATTGTTACAAGATAAATCCTTTGTCTGAAAAGGTGGGCAACTGCAGGTACAGAACTCAACCTATGGTTCATATCAAACAATTCAACTTTTTCTTATGATGCCATGACTTTTCTCTGCTGCTTGGGAGCACTTCCATTATCACTAGTGGTACTTCATATAGGTCCCATGTTTTTATTCACAGTTTACAATATTGCACTAAGCATGATTTAAAAAAATACACAAGAACCTTGAAAGATCTCTTTTTACTATGATGTGCAATTTACTGGAACGATGAACTGCCTACTCAGAAATAATTAGCATCACATAGCATTTTAAGTGGATACTCACAACATTTGAGCTCACCACAGTGGCAACAGGAGATGGCTATGAAATCATTAAGTAGTACAGTATGTACTACAGTTAATTGTACATAGCTGTGATTTAATACTGCATCTTTATCTTTGTGTACCTTTCTCTCAACTGTAAATTGCATCATGTATGGTCTGTAAATTTTGCTAAAAAATTTTAACTTTTTATAATTTGTATTTTATGGTAGTACATGATAAAATAGACTAGTATCTACATACAATCTGTAAGTGAATATATGTGTGTTAATTTT